AAGTCGGATTGCTCAATTTGTTCAATTTTTGTACTTAGTTTTTGCAATTTTTCCTAACTCTTTTATCATGTGGCATTCAGTACACCGACTACCCTTGACTCTGGCGGCTGTGTGGTTGGTTTCAGTACTTCTCTGATTAATTGACTTGGAACTTTTGATACTTTAAAGAGTATGAAATGTTCCTAAGTTAATCAATCACAGTACTGATTTCCCCAAACCAGGTACACAGCCGTCCCCACATTCAAGAAAGTATCCATTTATACAACCGTCCACACATTCAAGCAAGTAGCAATCTAGGTATAATTCCTTTTGATAAGGCATGAGGCAAATCGCCGCCTGCCACTTGATGAGGCAGGAGGAAAACGACTACCTAAAAATATAATTGGTCCCTAGATGGCTCAAGAACCGTCTAAGGCACCTACAATCCATTGCACTTTTTCCCTCTTGCCCATTGGGTGGACATGTACAATTTTGTCGAATAATCTAAGTTAGAACTTCAGTCGATAACCGGCTAATGTCAATAGACATCCGGCTTTTGAGCTTAATCATTCTTTAGATTATTTTGGTCAGACGACTATGAGTTGACCAATTAGGTCGTTCAATCTTTGTCGTCTGTATGAGTAGGTAGAGCACTTGGTTACCCGGATGGGAGATACTCTCTATGACTTTTTCACCCGGATGGGCGTCGCCGGACGCCTTACTCATGTTGGAGCAGACGAATTTATAAAATATCATTCGGCCATTGGCCTCATAGTTTGAACTTTTAATTTAGCCACGAAGTTTTTAACTTATATATATATATATATATATATATATATATACATATATATATATATATATATATATATATAAGTTCAACTAAATAAATTAAACTAAGTTAAAAACTTCGTGGCTAAATTAAAAGTTAATAACAGAATTGAAACAAAAAGGCAACTCTTTCATTGATGGGCTTTGCATTTACAAAAATTTACAAATCTCATATTTATGGATGCTTCTAATTGCCCTCATTCATGCATGGATGTTTGTGATGATCAAGATGGAAATGTGAATGAGCATGTGAACTATATGTCAAATAATAATGATTTTAGGTTTGAGAATCAAAGAGGCTAATGGAATAGGAATTACAACAATCATGGAAATTTTGACAACTATAACAACCAAGGTTATAGGAACCATGGGAACCAAAATTCCTGAGGTAACTATAACAACCAAGGTTATATTGGCTAAAATCAAAACCAAAATTATGGTTATCATAACCAAGATTATGGTAACCATAATCAAGGTAGAGGTAATTAGAACAATTAAAATAGGGGAAATTTTCAAAATAACTCTCAAAGGGGTCCCCCTACCCGGATTTGGTCCAAAGACCCAAAATGATAATTTCTATGTTCAATCCTCTTCTTCTTCTTCTAGGTTCTTCTTCTAGGAATAATTTGGAAGAAATCATTGAAAATCAAACCAAATTGTTGCACTTGCTAATGGTTGAAAGACCAAGCTAGTCCTTCTTCTTTACCTTCCCAAGGCCTAGATCCCAAGAGACCGGTCAATGCTATTGCTACAAGGAGTGGTAAGGTTCTTGAGGAGAGTTTGCCTAGGAAGAGTGAGACCAAGGAGGCCACAAAAGAGGTTTTGGTTGAGAGAGATGATGCATCTTTGAGTGAGGTTGAGATTGAGAAACCTAGTGAGGTGAGAGTGGAGAAAGAAATTGTGAAACCCAAGCTTCCTTATCCACAAAAAAATCATGAGACATAAGTTAGATGAACAATTTAGAATATTTATTGACATGCTCAAGAAACTTCCCCTTTCTCTACCATTTACTGAAGTTGTCACACAAATGCCCAACTATGCAAAATTCCTCAAAGATATTTTGAGCGGTAGGAGGACTTGTGATGTTGTAGAGACGGTGAACTTGACTGAAAATTGTAGTGAAATTATAATGAACAAGATGCCACTTAAGCTTAAAGACCCCAGAAACTTTTCCATCCCTTTTGCCATTTACAAAATGCAAATCGAGAATTCCTTATGTGACTTAGGTGCTAGTGTTAGCCTTATGCCATATTCGGTATACCAAAGACTTAATCTAGGGGAAATCTTACCTACCAACATCACCTTGCAATTGGCTGCTAGGTCAATTAAGATTCCTAAGGGTAAGGCGGAGGATATTCCATTGAGGGTTGGGAAATTTGTCATTCCAGTGGATTTTGTGGTGCTTGAGATAGACGAAGATGCTAGCATTCTTATCATTTTAGGGAGACCATTCCTTACTATAGATGTGAAGAGTGCTAAAATTTCACTCAAAGTAGGGGATGAGGTGATAGAATTCGACTTGAATGATAGTATGAAGTATCCAAGTTCCTCTCTAGAAAATTGCATGTTGATTAATTCTCTTGATCATGTTGTGTCTTCCATGCATGAGCAATTTCTCACTTCTAAAGATGCTCTTGAGAATGTTTTGTTGAATAAGGAAAAGATAGGTGCTCCTAGCAAGGAAATGGCTTTGTATGAAGATGTTCTCAATAGAGTCCTTGATGATGTTGAAGAGCAAATGTGTATGAGCATTTCTAGCCAAGAAGCGTTGCAAGTGACAACATCAAAGGAAGGTAAAGGTGTTTCAATGGTTGAGCTCAAACATCTTCCATCACACATTAGGTATCAATTCTTAGGACCTAACTCAACCTTTCTCGTGATTGTTAGCTCTTCTTTGAGTGAGCGCCAAGCTCAAGAGTTGTGTGGTGTTTTGAGAAAGCATCAAGGTGCTTTGGGTTATACCATTGATGACCTCAAAGGTATAAGCCCCGCTTTATGTACACATCACATAACCCTTGAGGAGAGTGCTTTACCTTCTATTGAGAGGCAACAAAAGCTACATCCCCAAATGGGAGAGGTAGTGAAAAATGAGATCACCAAACTTTTTGGATGCGGGAATTATATTCCCCATCTTGAGTTCTAGGTGGGTTTCTCCCGTTCATGTTGTCCCGAAAAAGGGAGGTATGACTGTCGTCGAGAATGAGAAAGGTGAGCTCATTTCGACGAGGACGGTCACGGGATGGAGGATGTGTATAGACTATAGACGTCTAAACACATCTACAAAGAAAGATTAATTCCCCTCTTCCTTTTATTGATCAAATTCTTGAGAGATTAACGTTGCACAAGTTCTATTGTTTTCTTGATGGTTATTTGGGATTTTTCCAAATCCATATCCACCCGGATGACTAAGAGAAAACAACCTTCATTTGTCAATATGGTACATTTGCCTATAGAAGAATGTCGTTCGGCCTTTGCAATGCTCCCGCAACATTTCAAAGATGTATGTTGAGTATATTTGGAGATATGTTGGAGGAGGATATGGAGGTGTTTATGAACGATTTCTCCATAGGATTTGTTTCATTTGAGGCATGCCTTGAAAACCTTGAGAAATGTCTTGCAAGGTGTGAGAAGGTGAACTTGGTCTTAAATTGGGAGAAATGTCATTTCATGGTGGAGGAAGGCATAGTTCTATGCCATAAGATTTCTCACAAGGGGATAGAGGTGGATAAAGCAAAGATTGAGGTTATTGAGAAGCTCCCACCTCCGGTCAATGTGAAAGGAGTGAGATCTTTCTTAGGACATGCCGGGTTTTAAAGAAGATTCATCAAGGATTTCTCACTCATTGCAAAGCCCCTCAATGATCTTCATCAAAAGGATGTCGAGTTTGTATTTGACGATAAGTGTTTGGAGGCATTTAATAAGTTGAAGAAGGCTCTAATCTCTACTCCTATTGTTCAAGCCCCAAGATGGGATTTACCTTCTGAGTTGATGTGCGATGCTAGTGATCGGCAATTGGAGGTGTCTTGGGTCAAAGAGTGGAAAAGAAGCTTCATGTGATCTATTATATGTCCAAGACTCTAAATGGTGCTCAACGAAATTACACTACAACGAAAAAGGAATTATTTGGCTATTGTTCATGCTTTTGAGAAGTTTCGTTGTTATTTATTGGGTTCGAAGACCATTGTCTTCACAGATCATGTGGGTCTTAAGTGCCTTTTTGCAAAGAAAGAGTCCAAGCCTAGGTTGATCCGGTGGGTTCTTAAACTCCAAACCTTTGACATTGAGATTAGGGATAAGAGAGGAGCGAAAAATGATGTGGCGGACAATCTCTCTCGCCTAGAGGATTCTCAAATTCATGATGATGGTTTTTCAATTGAGGATAAGATGATTGATGAGTTTTTATATGCTATTGAGGCAAAGGAGCTCCCATGGTTCGCCGACTTAGTGAACTTTCTCACATGTGGGGAGTTTCCTCCTTACTTTTCTAAGAATCAAGGAAAGAAGCTCAAGAGAGAGGCATGACACTATGTGGCCGTGGGATGATCCCGTCTTATACAAGCGAGGGGTGTTTTGAAAATGATGGCTTACTTAGACATTGTGTTCCAAATGAAGAGGTGCCTAGTGTTTTGAAAATGTGCCACTCGGATCCGAGTGGTGGCCATATGGGTGTCTCTAAAACCACCAATGAGTTTCTTCAAAGTGGTTTATGGTGGCCACATCTCTTCAAGGATTCATGGGGTTTTGTTAAGACATGCGACCGTTGTCAAACAGTTGGGAATATCTCCAAGCGAAATGAGATGCCCCAACAACCTATACTTTAGTTGGAAGTGTTTGATGTGTGGGGTATCGATTTTGTGGGACCTTTTCCCTTGTCCTTTGGAAATCAATATATCCTTGTGGTGGTTGATTACGTGTCTAAATGGGTTTAGGCCATTGCCTCCTCAACTAATGACCACAAGGTGGTAATGAAGTTGTTCAAGAAGGTAATTTTTCCAAGGTTTGGTGTACCAAAGGCGGTGATAAGCGATAATGGTTCTCATTTTATTCACCATTCCTTTCAAAAGATGTTGCGAAAGCATGGAGTCCATCAACGATTTGGCCTCCCATATCATCCTTAATCAAGCGGCCAAGTGGAGGTTTCCAATCATCAAATCAAGTTAATCCTTGAAAAGACGATTGTAAGAAATCGGAAAGATTGGTCGGAAAATTTGGATGATGCTCTTTGAGCCTATAGAACGGATTTCAAGACACCTATAGGTACCACTCCATACCGCCTAGTCTATGTCAAATCATTCCATTTCCCAGTTGAGCTTGAACATCGTGCTTTGTAGGCAATCAAGAAGATAAACTTTGATTTGGCAAGTGCGGGGGGAGAAAAGGTAGTTAGATCTTCATGAGCTAGAGGAGCTTCGACTTGATGCTTACGATTGTGCTAGTGTTTACAAAGCTCGTTCCAAGGAAACTCATGACAAGCTTATTGAGAAGAAAAAGTTTTGTGTTGGTGACAAAGTTCTTCTCTACAATTTAAAAATGAAGTTGCTTCCCGGAGAGCTGATGTCAAGATGGAACGGTCCCTATTTGGTTAAGAATGTCTTTCCTAGTGATGTTATAGAGGTTTCAATGATGGATTCTTTGTCTCCGTTTAAGGTCAATGGCCATCGACTCAAGAAGTATTTCGATGGTGCTTTTGTTGGCCTTATTCACATATTGCTTTTCCAATAACCACCTTAATTAGTGGAGGACGTCGAGCTATGACGTTAAACAAGCGCTACTCGGGAGGCAACCCAATTTTCTAACCTTTTTCTTTTGATTTTTCAATTCTCTATATTTATTTTATCCTTGAGAACTTTTCTTATTTTTCTTTGTTTTCTTAATTTTAGGTACCATGAGATTGGATCGAAGAAAATTTCCAACAATTTCGGTGTTAATTCAAGGTCTCATGAGGTTTGGTTAAACTTAGGTGAAGGAGTTTGTAGGGGTTATATGCTCTCGTGTTTGCATTTTCATTGTTTTTCTACTCATTTTTCCAGTGAGTTTTGAACTATTTTTGTGAAATTTTTAAGCACTTGATCATGACGTTCGTTAGCGCTGATGAGAGCGCAAGCACGAGAGCATATTCAAGGGAAAATATTTCCCCCCCTAGCCTTTATGTGGTGCGCACGCATCATGAGTTGCGCTCACGCACCACGGGGTTTAGAAATTTTGGCCCCTTTTTTGATGAAATTTTGATGAATTTAGAACCCCCCAATCACCCCCTGGTGCGCAGGCGCCTCCTACTTACGTGTGTGCACCACAGGGGTTAGAGATTTTGGTGGTTTTTGGTGCATTGCAAGCCCAAGCAAAGCCCCCCCTGTTGCAGCTGGTGCGCACGCACCCCCTAGCTGCACCAGTCGCAACAGCTATCAACCCCCTTTTCATGCCCTTTTATTCACAAACCCCTCCCCCCCTTATTCACTCCTTTTCTCTCTCCCCGACTTCCCCTTCATTCCTCTACTCTCTTATCTCTCTTCAAACCCCTTCAATTCCTTTGCAAATTCAAGCAAATTCATCCTTTTATTTTCAATTCATCAAAATTTTACATTAACCACAATCAAATCTTTCAAAAAAAAAAAAAAAAAAATCTGAAATTTTCGATTTTAACTTCTAAAATTTAGTCTTCATTCGAATTTTTGAGGGTTTATGTTGGTGCTTGGAACTTGTCTTTAAGTGTTCTTATTGTTCTTTAATCTTCAGTTTGTGTAATTTGCAAGTAATTCAATGCTTCATTGAGGTATAGTTTCTCACTTTCTTGTAATCTTCTTCCTCATTTTTGAAGCTTGAAACCCTTGTTTTTTCTTTCATGGTAGAAATCCATTGTTAGATGATTCAATGTTTAAACTTGTAATTTGTGTTGAATGATGTTATTGGATGTTGAATTGAAGCTTTTTCTTGTTGAATTTGTTTACCTTGTTTGAATACTTGAATCACCATTGTTGGTCATTTTCTCTCTCATGGGTATTCTTTATGATAGCTTTATTTCTTTGATGATTCAATATTTTGAGATTATTTTGGTCAAATTGATTCATAATTTGGTCTCTTGTGTTCAATTTTGCCTTTAACTCATGCCTATTTGCCTCACACATATGTTTCTATATTGATGGTATTGTTCATATGTAACCATTTCTTGCTTCATTTTTGAGTAAATTGCATTTGTGCTTGATTCTTGAGCAGTTTCTTATGCTTATTCTTGAATAATGATAATTGTAAATGACTTTCTCATGATTTGCTTTGCTTCTTGTAGATGGCTCCAATCCGCTAAAAGAAGCGGGCAAGATCAAGTTCAAGCAAAGCTAGGCATGTTTTTCCACCTCCTCCCGAGGTGGAAGAAACAAACGACATTGAATTCTCTAAGGAATTACATTGGGATCGATTCAAGCACCTATCAAGCGGAAGCTCAAGTCAACAAGATTCTACGATCAAACAACAACCAAGTTTCTCAAAATTGATGATGATGTTCGCTACCTTGCCAAGAACCTCGGTCTCTTAGAGTTTTTGGATTTGAGCGCCCCTACTTATGCTAGGGTGACCTTTGAATTTCTATCATCCCTTGAAGTAGTTTGAGAACCAAGTGGTGAGTCGTCAAGGACTTTGACCTTCCAATTAACTCTTCAATAATGATCACAAATTGACGGAGTCACAACTATGTTCCTACTTCCGGTTTCCATGGACCGTTGATGAGGACCATATTATCTATCTGGCCAATATCTTCTTCTCTATTACCTTGTGTACCATAAATATCAGCCCCTGCTAATGAATCAGAGGTAAGCCACATGCCCTTTGCTCCCTTGCTCGAAAATTTTGCTTGTTAATAGTTGAGTTAGAGGGATACCTTGAAGCCCCTGACCAAAAGTATCATCCAATTGGGAAGCACGTGACCCATCACCTGCCAGACCACTAGACCCACCCTCCAGCCCACCTGCCAGACCACTAGACCCACCCTCCGGGCCATTAGACCCACTAGCCTGGCCACCAAACCCACCTGTCAGGCCACCAAACCCACCTGTCAAGCCAACACCCAGGCCACTAGACCCACCAGCCAAGCTACATGTCAAGCCACTAAAACCACCTAACCCACCTGTCAGGCCACAAAACCCATGTAGCCCAGCTGTCAGGCCATTACACCCAGCTGTCAGGCCACCAAACCCAGCATTCAAACTACCAGAAGTATTGTTGCCTCCAAATAATCCACCTACACCAACCTGTTGAGCTCCAACTGCCATGAAAGATTTTATTTGCTCTTGGCTGCAACATGACATCAAGAAGGACATCATAAAATTTTGTCTATTATCCATGGATACAAGTTTTGATTTCATCATGCCTATTTCAGCATGTAATTGGCTGGGTGGAGCAGGTTTGTTATAACCAAAATAATCCTTCACCGTAATGCCTGAACCAACAGCTCTCACTGAACCACCATGCTCACGCTTATGCATTGCTTTGGCTAAGATATCATCTCGACCCTTAGCAATGAATTCACCTCTTTGAACTTGACCCTCTAAAGCTATATGAGAAACATACAAAAGATCAAGTTTAATATAAATCAATTGCATACATTATTATTATGAAAAGAAAATTTTTAAATGCTTGAAAAGTAAAACATTTAAGAAGATTAAAGATACTCTCTTACTATTGCATCATGGATTTCTTTATCAGCAAGATTATCAAATGTTATAACTCCATCTTTGACATGAGAATGAGCTTTAATCCATTTTAGATGTCGTGGCACTTGTGACACATGGACTCCTTGCTTTTCAAGTTCTTTTTCCTAATAGTACAGAAAACAAAATTGAATATTTAGTTAATACTATTAAAATTGTTAAAAATCAAAGTAATTGAACACCATGTAATTAACACTTACAATCTCCTCTTCAAAATATTGGTACCCAAGTCTACCACAACGATAACTTGAGGATTTCTTCTTTGCTTTTTCACGATTCTTTTCACTCAATTCCTACATATTTTTATAGTTCAAAGTCAATTGATAAAACAGTATACAAGTACATATATATTCACATTATTGTTTAAATGATACGATAAATCAAAGTATACCTTGAATTCATCAGAAGTGCAGATTTGAACAAAGGTATCCCAATCCGATTCATGTATAAAAGGATACTTGTGTGGTGGCTTTTGACGAAGTGTTTTATCTTTTTTATACAACCACTTGGTTCTTAATCTAGTCTTGAAAGCTTTCCATCGAATCGATGCTCGTGATAGTACATAACCTTTGTGATTCTCAGGAACATAAAACCCCTTCTATGTTCATTCAAAACCAATTTATAAGTTAGTACACACACACCAAAAAAAAAAAAAAACTTAAATATTAAAAGATTTTTCCATTCGAATACAAGATTAGTATATCTTACCGATATAAATCCATAAACTTCATCTAACACTCCTGTTGGAACTTCATGCCAATCTTTGTAGGAAATGCTTATTCTTTCACGTGCCATTACACCGATGTAGGTGGAAAAATGAATCTTGTGTTCACCTGTGGGAATTCTTTTACTTGGATAACATTGCAATGGGATTTGGGTGCCAGCATGGATAGTCTTCCCCACCTTCTTAAGTACAGTACGACCTCTCTCCTCACAACTTGAATCTTCAGAATCATCATTCGGTTATTAGTATTCAAGAGGAAACCTTCTTAAACAAGATAGCTAGTATGGTACGTAAGAGTATATGATCTTACAAATCATGCATAACCCTACTAAATTCTAAGTTATTAGTATTCAAGAGAAAACATTCTTTTTTGTAATAAAAGTAGATATCTAAAAGCAAAATTCACCTTGATTTCCTTAAGAGTTTTTATGACTACGCTTTCGCTTTCGCTTTACTTTATTATTGTTAACATTATCTTCCCACAAACCTTCATTGTGGTCATCTCTTGCGTAGATCGAAGAATCATCAGCTACATCATCATCAACTAGTCCCTTTTCCAACAACGAACTACCTTCCAAAACACTATCATCGCCCCAATCATCTATGACATGTCGCGGTCTCGGTGTAATAACAGCTGACATTCTCTTATTTGATGGATCGGTCATATAAAACACTTGTTTAGCTTGACTAGATAAAATGAAAGGATCTTCCTTGTGACCAATCTTATTAAGATTAACAAAAGTCATTCCAAGGCTACTGTGATCAACCCCGTTGTTATTATCAACCCATTGACATTTGAAAACTAGAATTGAAAAGTTAGAGTAATGCAACTCACAAATCTCTTCAATAAATCCATAGTAGCGCATTGTGCCAGAAACGGGATGCTTGTCTTTTGCACTAGCAAAATGAATAGCTTCAGCCTCTAAAGTAACCCCACTATTTTGCATTGTACTATTTTCATCTTGCAACCTTGTGTAAAATGTGAAACCATTGATAACATAACCTGAATATTAAGTAGCGTTGAAATTAGGTCCATATGCCAAACTCTTAAGTCGATCAGAAATAGAACTTGGAGAATCCTGAAGCTCCCTGAAAACTTGATATTTGAACCACCTAATGAACGATCTATTGTGTTCATCAGCTATTGATTTCTCATTTGCCCTTCTATTGTATTTCCTCAAGTATCTCATGTGTTTTTGAATATATGGCATCACCTCATCCTCATTGTGAAGAATATACGAATGGGCCTTGTGCCAATCGTCATACGACATGTCAAGTTGTTTGCGCCCTAGGGTCCCCTGACCACCCATTCTTCCCATATGCTGAGAAACAGGAAGCCCTATCTTCATTGAATTTGATATAAATTCACTAGTATATGCAAGAACTTCTTCATAAAAAATTCGTTCAGCGATACAACCTTCTGGGTGAAAAGGGTTCTTGACATAACCGCCATATGTTTTCATTTGCCTTTCAAAAGGCCACTGATTTCTCAAGTACACAGGCCCACAAAATCGCACCTCTCTTACCAAGTGAACTGGTAAATGAATCATGACATCAAAAAACGATAGTGGAAAGTACATTTCTAACTGGCACAAAGTTACAACGATTCCATCTTCCAATGCAGTCAACTCTTTTGGATCAAAGACCTTGCTATAAATTGCATTAAAAAATAAACAAAGTTTGGTTATGGCAAATCGAACATTTTTGGGCAAAATTGAACGAATAGCCACTGGTAACAGATTTTGCATTAGAACATGGAAATCATGAGATTTAAGGCCCACAAGTTTCAAGTTTTCCATATTCACAAGGTTGCGAATATTTGAAGAATAACCCTCTGGCACTTTTACTCCAGCCAAGCTCTCACAAAATTCAATTTTCTCTTTTCTTGACAATGTGTAAGCTGCTGGAGGTAGGTATGCTCGACCTTTGTCATTAACAACAGCATGGAGTTCACTTCTAATCCCCATGGTCTGTAAGTCATCTCTAGCTTTCGTGCCATCTTTAGTCTTCCCATGAATATTCAATAAAGTACCAATCAAACTATCACACACATTCTTTTCAATATGCATCACGTCAAGTGAATGTCTCACAAAAAGGAATCTCCAATAAGGTAGGCGCCATAAATATGAACACTTCTTAAAGCCTTGCGTAAGAAGAGCAGACCTATGTTTTTTCCCATAGGTAATTTGAATATCTTTAACCTTTTCGTACACCTCTTCACTTGATAGAACTCTTAGGCGATCTTTAAAATCTTGTTTTCCATTGAAGGCCTTTTTCCTTTTACGAAATGGATGACTCGATGGAAGATATTGCCGATGTAAAGGGAACACATGCTTGCGTGATGCGCTCAACCATTCTCCCCCGCAATCCTCCATGCCTATGGGACAAGGTGCTTTCCCTTTCACGGTATACCCAGAAAGATTACCGTAAGCAGGAAAATCTTGGATGGTGTTAAACAACATTGCTTTCATGATAAAGTTCTCATTACAATGTGCATCAAACACCTGTATACCATCCTCCCAAAGAATAATCAAATCATCAATGAGAGGTTCCAAATACACATCAATGTCATTGCCAGGTTGTTTAGGCCCAGAAATTAGCAATGCTAAAAACATATATCGTGGTTTCATGCACAACGAAGGGGGTAAGTTATAAGTAGCCAATATAACGGGCCATGTACTATATGTGCTACTCAAGTTCCCAAATGAATTGAACCCATTAGTAGACAATGCAAGCCTTAGATTACGCTTCTCTTTTGCAAAGTCCGGGTAATTTCCATCAATAAACCTCCATTGTGGAGAATCGGCGGGGTGTCTAAGCATTCCATCATCTAATCGACCATAATGATGCCATGTTAATTTCTCTACATCCCCTGCATTTGAGAACAACCGCCTAAACCGTGGTATTATTGGAAAATACCATAATACCTTAGCTGGGACTGTGCCATCATCTTTCTTATAACGCGAGGCATTACAAATTGAGCAACTCTGTAAAGATTCATTTTCATTTTGATACAACATGCAATTGTTAGGACACGCATGGATTTTCTCGTAAGGTAAACCCATAGAGCTTAAACTCTTTTTTGCCTCATAAGTACCTGATGGAAGGATATTGTCTTCTGGAAGCATGTCTTTGACAACTTCTAGTAGCATGCTGAAGCTTGTATCAGTCCAACCATGACATGCCTTCAAGTTGTATAACTTGATTATCGCAGACAATCTAGTATACTTAGTGCAACCATCATACAAAGGCTTTTCAGAGTCATTTAAAATGCTCTCAAACATGGTAGGATTATCATCAAAGTTATCCTTCACTGAATGCAACAAATCTTCCAAATTATCAGCCTCATTTATTCTATCACCTTCACACCCACTACCCTCTACATTACTAACAAGAGGTTTTTCCCTACATTCTCCATGCCAAATCCAATTGGTATATGTTTTATCAAATGCCCACTTACTCAAGTGATTGAGTATTTCGTCAGGCCTCTTATGCAGCAAATTGTGGCACATATAACAAGGACATGGTAGCTTGGGACGACCTCCACTATTAGTAACTGCAAAATTAATGAACTCTCTAACACCTGCTCGATATTCTGGGTCACCCGGTTGTTTTGTTGATATCCAACTTCGATCCATTCTATATGCACCAATAGCAATTCAAGACTAATTCATAATAATTATAATATTTTCGAAAGCGATAATGTCTTCACATATATGTACATGTAAGTCTTGGCTCCTTATCACTCCAACCTAACTTGAATTGTTTAATAAATCTCACTAGTGAATGCATACTCACTTATCACTTAAAAAAAAATGGTGGCATTTCCTTAGAGTTCTCCGCATACACTATGTTGATTACTATTAGTATCAATATATTTAACCGAATAATGTGTAAATCCTAAATGACTAGGTCAATTATAATAAAGACACTAATGTTTCAGATTAATTGCATTCCTACAATATAAAGATTCATGAGGAACAACAAAAAGAGATGTGTGGCAGTGAACATAAAAATAGTAGCATCCTTGTAATGTATGTAAGGGGGTGACAAAGATATTAAATTAGAGAATACAACAAATATTTTACTAGATTAAACAAAATATTTTTATCAACCGAAATACGACAAAATCGTACTTTTCACGGGAAAATCAAATTTGAAACCATAACCCAAACAACCACCATATATGCAAGAAGAATCTTTACACCTATAAACTAAACATGATTCATCTGAATTTAAATATCATATCAATTTAGAACATTGTATTCAATTAGAGAATAATAAAAAGAAACATAAAATCCATTTACAGTACAATACACTTTAAAAGCAAGACAAGTTAGTATATATATACGACATATAAAAATTGAAACTAATGAGTAGTATAGGTTTAATTAAGAAATCAATTTTAACCTTAGTATCAATTATTTGTCTGGGTAAGGAAGGTGAATGAAAAATACCTTAAAAAGAATAAGGGGTTTCTGGTTGTGGCGGGAAATCGATCAAAGTAGTGCAATTCCTTGTATTATGGCTGAAAATTGAACAATCTTTATCATTAATTGATAGTTAACAATGAAAGAAGAACGAAATTGTGGTTGGGAGACGAGGCCCAGAAATCGAACGGCTTACCTCGTACAATCGCCTGAACAAACGGAGTGGTTGATAGTCGTGGCTCGAGTACTCTTCAGATGGTGGTGGCTTTGTAAACTTCACGATAGTGACGGCCTTACAAAGTAGATGATGGTGAACACAATCTTGAAAACGACCGCCTCTAATAAGGTAGTGAAAAACTTGGGAAGGAAGCCATGGAATTTCAAGGGTTTGGATTATTGGAGGAAGAAGATGAAACTATGAACTGCTACTACCAAGTAGAAACCCCTTTTAGCCCCTTAGTTTAATTTTTTATTTTTTTTAATGAGGATGTGTTAGTCTAAAACTCTAAGTTAGTAGTATAGTACACGTTTCCTCAAGTTAGTAGTACACGTGAAGTAGTCTTTTTTATTTTTATTTTTTTTAATAAAAAAAATTACTTAATATTTCTTTTTTTTTTATTTTTTTTGAGAAAAAAACACAATATTTCTTTTTTGCTTCTTAGTTATTTGATACTAGTGTATGTACACGTGATACTAGGATATAAGTAATCATAAAAAAAATTTAGATTAAAAAAATAATAAAAACAAAGAGACCTGTTAACACTAACAACAGGTCTCTTTGTTTTTTTCCCGCCAACAAATCGCTCTTTAGAGACCTGTTATCAATGACAACTAGTCTCTTTGACCAAAGAGACCTGTTAAGTCTTTTAACAAGTCTCTTTAGATAGATCCCTTTTCCCATATTTGTAGTAGTGCAACTCTTCAATAATGATCACAAATTGACGGAGTCACAACTATGTTCCTACTTCCGGTTTCCATGGGTCGTTGATGAGGACCATATTATCTATCTGGCCAATGGTAGAATGTTAAGTGACCATGGGTATGATGAGCAACGATGGTGGCGACGTATCACCAAGGACGGGAAGTATGAGCCTCAAACTTCTAAGTCCGCATCAATTATTCATCCGGTTATGCGGTATTTCAACCGTATCCTCACATACGCCCTTTGCTCGAAGGATTATTTGGGAGCTGTCTCCCTAGAGGAGCTTTGTTGGCTATGGATAGCCAACCAAGAGTCACATGAGATAGAGCTCGTGGATTTCATGCAGCATTTGATAAATCGATTCTTAGATATTCGTGATGGATTTAGCTTTTTTGGAAGCATCCAATTAGGAGGGATGATTTCTATCCTCGCTCTTTGCCTCAATGACTCTTATAAGGATTTGTTATGCGAGCTCCCTCTTATTGTCGACCCTCGGGAAAAGTCACCTTCTCATTTCCTCAATGTCTACGCCCTTATAAACCAAAAGTTCATTGATCGTACTAGGAGGTGTGATGTTTTCATATGGAAGGTTTCCCGAGTAAAGGATTGGTTCTTGATCCCAAGAAAGGAAGCTACTAACCGAAAAACGAAGAAATATTCTTTGACTTGGAGGCATCTAATGTGCAATATTGACCCTTCTCTTCTACAAAGGACGAACCATACAAGAACCGCCTCAAATGATTCTCTCTCGACGAACTTCCAAGCATTACCCCTGGTTGAACGGGAAGGTACTCCTATCCCTCCTCCCTCTACATCTACTTCTACATTCGATTTATCTACCATTCATGACAAGCTTGACTCTATTGCAAATGTATTGTGTTCCATGCCTTTGGGGCAAAATTCGTCTCTTAGCTATGATTTTCATGCTAATAAATTGTATGGCTTCCATGTGAGGAGGGGGGAGATTGAACCCTACTTGAACTACCCACACCTCCCGATCCAACAAGGACCTATCCCTCAATGGGAACCTTTTGACCCTACCGTGGGTCCTAGACCTTGCTTCCCTTATTGGGAGGGCCCTCATGTCCCTTCTAGTGCTATCATAGGCAACACCCTGGCCACTTACGACTATAAGCGGCCCAGTGGATGTGATTATACATATGATCCCGCTAACCCTATGCCCTTTTCGGACCCCGAGACTTTTGGTAGATGGGGTAGGTCGGGTGAGCCGGTCTTAGATGATTGGTCTCATTTCTATGCGATTGATCGAACTAGGAGGGAAGGTAGGTTAAGGGGTAAGGCTCCCGTGGAGATGAGCGAGATGGCTAGCTCTAGTCATGTTATGGAGACCGGTGAGGGGAGTTCTCATTCCACCCCTTACCATAGTGCGGAGTGGGACTATCATGACTACCCCACTTTTTATGTGCTTTATGTGATGTTTTCTTATGCCTATATGTTATTAGATTTAGAGTTTGGGGGGTAGTTCATTTTGAGTTTGGGGGTGATTTATGTTGTTTGTGTGCTTCACCGTTTTCCCCCTCGCTTTTGTAGTTCACTCTTTGTCTCTTATGCTTCTGGTATTGATCACTTTGTATCTCTTACCTCTATGATGATGATGATGATGTACTTCTGCTGATTTCTCTGTCCAGTTCTTGGTTTTTTTGTTTGTTTCGTTGATCGCTGTCTGTTGTGTATCTCTGCTTTTTTATGATTATGATTTCTGATGATGATTATTTGATATCTTGTCTCCTAACTCTGCTTCTGTATGATGATTTTGCTTCCTGATTTCATTACTTGACCCTATTGATGCTATCATATATTGCCTTTTCTTTATTTGCATACATTTTATCTTTTATATTCTTCTTTTCTTTTGTATTGAAGTTACTAACAATTTTCTTTATATATAGTCTTTTTTCTTTCTCACCTTGCTTTGACGCTTATTCTTTGGTTTTCGAAGTTTCATAAAGGTTCTCTTTCACTTTGCTTGATGTAGCATAGCTTCGACGCCCGGTGAGATCCTTCTATTTTTCTTCTTTTTATTTTTCTTTTCTTGGATGCTTAGTTTAGGTTTAGATTAGGAGAAGTTGAACGATTCGAGGATGTATGTGTAGACATCTACTTTTGGCCTCCTGTCCCGACAGGAAGTGCAATGATGATAAATAAAACCATCTTCGTGTTGGATCAAAGTGAAGAATACTTATGGAAAACTAGTTAAGCCACAAAACACAAAAGACTAGTCCGAATTAAAGATAAAAGCCAAAACCAAGGTCCAATTAACTAAACCCTATCATAATTAGGCTTAAGCCCGTGCTTAAAACCCAATAATGACGGATTTAGGAGCGCTTAGGTTAAATTTTAATGCTGCCGCATAATAAGCCGTGCGCATCTCAAACAGTTGCGTTGGGCTGCCGCGCGCAACTAATTTAGTTGCGCGCGACACCCAGTGCAACCTCCAGAGTTGCGCGGCGGAAGATTCAGAATTATACGAAAAATATAAAATCGAATCTTACCATAAAGTCGCGCGCAAGACAATTAGATGCGCTGCCCATAGCAGCGCAACCTTATCACTTGCGCTGGGATGCCGCGCGCAACTCATCCTGTTACACGCAACACCTGCTGCGGCAGAATGCTCGTAACCCTAAACCTAATCATTCCCTATAAATAAGAGCTTAAGCCGAGGCTTAGACAGACAGAAAATAACCTATAACTCTGGCGAAATACTTGTGAACTTGTGCAACCTAGCCCCTCTTATCCTAAACACTCACCCCTTTGATATTTTGTTACTACGGTGGAGGTTCCCCAACAAGAAGGAGTCCATAAGTATTCTAAACGGAGATCTAGCAAAGAGAAGTGGTAAATTCCCGTGCACTTAGTTAAATCACATTTATTTTCTTGTTTAAAAGAACCTTAATTAATTAGTTAGTGTTGTTTGATCACCTTTAAAATAATTAATTAATCAATTCCACATAGTATCTTGCGTTAAATAAAGATTAGAATTGAATAAAATAATTGTTGGTTGATCACTTAAGCCAAGGCGAATATTGTTTATTTTCTTGTCCTTTTCACGAATTTGATTAAATAAAGAATAACGACATTACGATGTAATTCCTATGTGATTAATGCTTGTAAATAAAATCAACTAACATAGTTTTAGGTATCGCGTTGCATATATTTGTTTGGTGATGAAATTGTAAAAAAGGAAGAGCTAGTAGAGGCCACACTAAGGCTAGGATAACGATTCCCCTCTAAAGGGATGGTTATTTTAGTACCCTCACTCCCGACCTCATTTTTGGTTTATATACAAATTTGGGCATGGGTAAACTTATGATTCGTGCAAATTATTCCATGAACTCCACATGGAAGAAAGATATGAACGAGGTTTATGAGTTTTCATAAAACTCATTGACGACTCCCTACTTGTTTCTTACAAAAAAGCGTAATAATAGAATCAATTCTAATTCAAGGTCCCCCAAACAGTCAGGAATTCAAATCCTACTACACCCTAACAAGTGTAAAGTCCTAGGATTTAAAGGGCCATGGGCATTTAAGGAGAGGACCCCTTACGATGGGAACCCCCTCCTTACAGTGGCGAATCCACTGGGGACATAGAGGTTACATGATTAATTCGTAGTCATGATCCAAGGTTTCCAACACTAGGTTGCCTATGGGTTGTAACAAGAATTAACTTGGATAATCTCTAGTTAGAGAGCGAGACTTGAACGCATAATATCTTCCTTTTTGCACAAGAGTAAAAACCAAACAAGCAACATTTCATCATGCATAAGCAAAGCACACTTAACCCATTGGGGATTGGCTCATTGACTAGGGGTCGCCAACACTAGGCTTCTATCTCGAAATCAATAACAATTATCTCACCCATATCGCCAACAAAATGTTGGGAGGGCGATGCCATGAGTCAACACGTTGAGTGATTGATTTGTGTGTCGTTTCTTAAGATATGGTACCTTTGGACACCCAAGCCTTTTTTGACCTTAGAATGGCATTGCGTGAATCTTGACTAATGGCATGCTTATGTGATTATGTGACTATATGCAACATGTTAGGATATTCTTCTTTTTTCTTTTTAGTTTGGTCTATCTTCCCAATTACGAAGTTGTCTTAGTGATTTAGAGTCATATTAAAAGGATAGCAAAAAAAAAAAATTCAAATAAAAAAAATGATGACAAAAATAAAAAAAAACGCTAGAATTTAAAAAAAAATCCTACGAGCAGGGGGCGCGCGCAACTCAGTGAGTTGCGCGACCCCTCCCAGCGCAAGAGATTCCGTTGCAACTAAGTCACTTGCGCGCGCCCACTGAATGAGTCAATTTTTATATCTCAAAAAACAAATTGACTCGTCCGAACAATATCTTCATTGAAGAATTGTTAAGGGTGATGTTATCCGTTTGAATATATTTTGCGTCTTTTTTTCCCCTTTTTAAACAAGCATATCGATTTACTTATCCTTTCGTACTCCTTTAGGGCCGGTTTCCTAGTCCAACAACAATGCCAACCATCAAGAACTTCAACAAGAGATTCTTCGTTTGAGAGAGGAAAAGGCTCAAGAGGCCGAGGAGAGAAGAATTTAAGAAAATGGAAAAAGCTGAAAAGAAAAATGCTGAATTCTTAGCCTTGCAAGAAAAGATGGAACAATTATCCATCAAAGAAAAGTCGTTGGAGAAGCTAGTTCTTCGTTCTACAATGGGGAACAAGTACTTTCACACAGAAAAATTTGCTCCTCCCCCAGGACTTGCTTTACCGGAAAAGTTCGTAGCTACGGATTTGCCAATATTTAAGTTGACCAATAATCCACAAAATCATTTAATGTGTTT